TTTTTTTGTCTTAAGGAACATACGAATGATAAAAAATATTAATAATCATACTTCCTGTACATAAATGAATGTATAATAATAGTAATAAATAAAAACTATAAAAATTTTGAAAAAGTATCTGAAAGAGTATTTGAAAAATATCAACAAAGTGAATGACATGAAGTGATTTATCATGACTTTATATTTAGTTTGTATTTCACTATAACATAGCTCATGTTCCCATGTACTGTAGTGTTAAATGAATAACCAAATAACCTTTGCTTGTGCAAAATAACTGACTGTCATTACTATTAACTCACGGGAATATCCAGCTTTTCACCTTTTTTCAAGGTCTCAGCTGCGGAATCATCCCTCAGAAGTGATAAAACTAATCCCAGAGCTTTCTCCGTTGGTAGTTCTTGCACTGCAGTCAAGACGATTTTATTCAACTCGTTATCCTTTCCACCATTGACGTTTGGTAAGAAACTCACTCTCACATCACTTGCTGATTTCTGCGAAACGAAATTGATATTAGATTATTTTCAATCGATAGCAAAAACTAAGTACGTACCAAATTTTCCAGGGCATCCAACAATATTTTCCTTGATTTCAAACAATTCAAATCTCCTACAATCCAATAAGTCATCGAATGGGGATTCTTTCCTTTCCTAGGAACGGAGAAATATTTCAAATTTTCCATAGCGGTGGCAGTCATGTCTCTAGAGCTCAGCTGTAGGAGTGCTTGGAGATTGTTAGTGCTTGATGCTGTTCCTGACATATCCAAGTGGAAGGATCTTTCTTTGTTCAGGATTCTGTCATTCAGCCTAGGCATCACATTCGGTTGGTTCATTATAAATTCAAAAACATCATCGGTATCAGATAATTTTCCACGATATACGTTTTTCTGGAAACTAGGAGTCTGAGACATAATTTCTTGTAGAACTGCTTCCTCAAATTCATCGACAGTTATTTGTTTTTGGGGCAGAGGGATTCCATTGAGCAGAGCCTGAGGAAATACCTTCAGTCCTGTTCTTTGGATGAAGTCAAATGACAGTTGTCTACCAAAATCGTACACCGAATCCTCTCCTAAAGCAACAAAACAAATAAATTTAAAAAGGACGTCTTTCAGAATATTATATTATTGATCTGACTTAAAATATGTCGAAATTTCAAAATACAGTAAAGTTTTATGAAAAGAAACACTAATCGAAATAAATGATTGGGAATCAATGAAAATTTTCAAACCAATAAGTAAATAAATAACCTACTCACAACCATGTATAAAAATGAATTTCACAGGAGATTTCAAATGTTCAAAATTAATTTCAAGATTGTCCAAGAATACAAAAATAATGAGTCTACATCTATTTATTATCCCGATGAAAATAAATTATTTTTTAAGCAACATTCAGATTTCGGAAGTAAGCATTTTTTTGTAAGAGAGCTTTTCAACTGACT